TGATCACCCATCTATGGGGCGAATCTGAGATTAATGTTAGTAAAAGGATTGGGCCTTTAACCTTATCCACTCCAGGAGACCAAATTCAAATTAGATTTGAATCTGGTAACCTCCTGATAAGATCAGGAGTAAGCTAACTTAATCTATAGATAGGATTAAGATAATCCCCTATCCAAATACTGATTTGGATTGGGATAACTCCTAATTARGAGGTTTCTTAATCAAGAAGAAAGGAGGAGAAACTCAAGAGAAATATATCAAATTTCAAACCAGGTTTTCTTGCAAGAAATTATCCTGTGAACTGAGATTAGATCTCATACAGACTCCAGAGAGAAGAGAAGCAGTTCAGCCATCTTCGTCCCAGGAGTTCTCCTCCAGTCTTCGCCATTCCCTCTTGCAAGATTTGATCTTTACAGCAATAGGAAGTCAAGAAATCAGTTCTTGACATCAATCTTGCAAGAAAGACTAAAAAAGATTCGGTGTTCAGAGTTTCCAGAGGGTTCTTGCGAAGGTTCTAGTGTGTAGGACGCACCCTGCTGGTTTCGTTCCACCCACAGTTGTGTCATCTTCAACAGGAGCGGATCTTGGTGTCTTCTTTGGGCGTGAACAGCAACTTTGGGAGATACTGTTTCTCCAAATCAGGTATAATCCTCCCTTTTTCCTTTTGGTTCAGATCTGGTTCAATTATGGTTCAAGTAGAATCCTTGAATATTGTATTCTAAATTTAGGGAATGCGATTCCCAGTTGGGAGAAGGTAAGAAAATTTTTGAAATTCGCCCACCCATTCCGCAACCTTTATGGCATCCATTAGATGGATCCTACCATTCTTTCATTTTTAAAGTGTTGCGCCTAGGGCCTAGGCAAGACGAACACCTTAAAATGTACATCGCCTGAGCACCAAGGTGCACCTTTTAAATCATTGATTATAAGGAACATTTGCCTTTATGATTCAATATATCACATCTATAAGAACTTGTGGATCAAAACCTAACCTAGTCAAAGCTAGAGGATTAAATTTTAGAAAATAAATATCTTGTTAGAGTTTCTTTGTCTTTATGATTACAAGGGTATATTTGTGTTCTTCCTCCCCCCTCCGTCCTGAAAATTCTGTTTTCTAGTATTTGGAATAATGACTTGATGAGAGAGAGCATGAAATGTTGTTTGGCCACCAAGGTCCAATCCTGGTTATAACTTATGAACTATAGAATCAATTGAAAGTGTTTTCAGAGTATTGAGATCTAGGTGGAGTCTTTTTTTTTTTTGATGAACAAAATTAAAATATCACTGATATCATCAATAATAAGTAATTAT